CCAGTTGCTGTCAAGTCGATTCTGACTCATAGTGACCCCATGTATGTCAGAGTAGGGTTTTCAGTGGCTGATTATTGGAAATAGATCTCCAAGCCCTTCTGAGACACCTCTGGGTGGACTTGAACCTCCAGCCTTTTGGTTAGCAGCAAAGCATGTTAACCATTTATACTACCCAAGGTTTCCCATGTGTGTGAGTGGTAGTGTAGTGGTGGTGTTATTTGGAGAAAAAAAAACCAAACCTGTCACCATCGAGTCGATTCCGACTCATAGTGACCCTATAGGACAGAGTACAGCTGTCCCATAGGGTTTCCGAGGAGCACCTGGTAGATTCGAACTGCCAGCCTTTTGGTTAGCAGCCGTAACACTTAACCACTACACCACCACAGTTTCCACGGTGGTGTTATTAGGTGCCATCAAATCGATTTCTGACTCATAGTGACTCATAGTGACAGAGTAGAACTGCCCCATGGAGTTTTCTTGGCTATAGTCTCTATGGGAGCAAATTGCTAGGTCTTTCTGCCTTGGAGTGGCTGGGTGGGTTCTAATCAACAACTTTCAGTTAGCAGCTGAGTGCTTAACCATTGTGCCACCAGGGAGATGGGAATAGTAGCCCATGTCTTTAATGTAAGAATTTCAAGAAGCTCTGATAGCTGGTAGAAGTATCATCACTGACTCAGGAGAACTAATTCGAAGGTTCTAGCGTCTGGGTAATTGTTCAGATGCTTATTTGGATGATCCTCAATCTAGGACCGAGTTCATGGTACAAAAAACCAGGGGGCACTGATTAAAAAGGTATGAGGATGGGTTTTAAAGTGAAAATGGTAAACACCCTGCCCTTCCAGACATTCTGCTGTCACCTGGCCAGGAGGGGCAGCAGACTCACTTCATCAGAGCAACTAAGAGTCAGGTTGTTACTTCCGTTTTTTCTTTTTCTTTGTCTCTCTCTCTCCCTCCCTCTGTCTCCCTCTTTTGCCTGTCTCCTTCCCTCTCTCTCTCTTCCTTTGTGGCAAAATATGTGTAACACATTTTCCTTTTCAACCATTTTTATGAATAAATTCAGTGACATTCATTATGATCCCTGTGTTGTGTAACCATCATCACTGTTCCCAATTTTTTCATCACCCTTAACAGAAACTCAGTGCCGCTTAAGCAATAACTCCCCATTCCGCCTCCCACCTGCCCCTGCTAGCCACTAATAAACTTTAATCTCTATGCATTTACCTATACTAGATAATTCATATAAGTGGGATCATACAATATTATTTTTCTTTATGGCCAAATAATATTCCATTGTATGTATATATCACAGTTTGTTTATTCATCCGTCTGTTGATGGACATTTGGGTTGTTTCCACCTTTTGGCTATTGTGAATAAAGCTGCAGTGAACATTGGTGTACAAGTATCTATTTGAGTCTTTCCTTTCAAGTCTCTTGGGTATATCCCTAGAATTACTGGGTCATATAGAAAATCTATGTTTAATTTTCTGAGGAACTGCCAAATTGTTTTCCACAGCTACTGTACCATTTTACAACCCCACCAGCAATGAATGAGGATTCCAGTTTCTCCACATCCTTGCCAATAATTTTATTTTCTGTTTTTCTGATAGTAGCCATTGGGGGTAGAAGTGGTATCTCATTGTGGTTTTTATTTGCATTTCCCTAGTGAGTAATGATGTTAAGCATAGTTTCATGTGCTTGTTGGCCATTTGTATATCTTCTTTGGTGAAATGTCTATTCAAGTCCTTTGCCTATTTTTTGATCAGGGATTGGTTTTGTTGTTGTGTTGTTGTTAGGAGCCATCAAGTCACTTCTGACTCATGGCAACCCCATGGGTGACAGAGTAGAACTGCTCCATAAGATTTTCTTGGCTATAATCTTTATGAGAGCAGATCAGCAGGTCTTTCTCCTTTAGAGCCACTGGGTGGGTTTGAACTGTTAGCTTTTTGGTTAGCAGCCAAGTGCTTAACCATTGCCATGAGTCAGAATCTGTCTGTGCTATTGTTGATCACCCTAATGTGTTATAAAAATTATGTAAATTTCAAATATTAATCCAGTCAGGAAGTTTTGGCAAATGAAAAGCCTATAATAAAGACATCCTCCTGATCTGTGCCAGTGTTATTGCTCGGCATGTCTGTCACATAATCAAACCACTCTGGCCATGTTGTTATTGTTCCAAAGCATTCTTCTCCTTTATACACTCTAACTCCCTCCTCGGGCTTGATGAGGCTTAGATAACAACTCAGTTGAACTGATCAGTTTCCGGAGTTTGTTACTGCCCCGTGCACAAATTGGCACGGAAGCGAGTGGCTAGTTACTAAAGTGAGGTTTGCTTCTCAGCGCATCCTTCACCTGCAGTTTGTTTTCGGCTATGTCAAAGACCATCGAATAGTTGGGAATGTGCCCAAACCAAGACCCATCTGTGGTAATGGTCCAGAAAATGTACTGATAAAATTGGCCATATGTAGTTTCACCAGGCCCACTGAGGCCCACAATGGTTTCCTTGCGTTGTTCTAAACTTGAAGCATATGGCTTCAGGAATCAGGAGAGGGTAAAATATGCACTCTGGCCAGAAAAATTATCTCTGTTCTTCTCCCTTAAGAAATCAGATACTTTGCTGGCATTTAGGGGGTTTGTCCTAATAGAAAGCCCCCTGGAATGTGCAGCAGTTAGTAAAGGATGTTCTTTTCTGAGGTTGTATCTGTCTTTATTTTTTCAATATTTTAATATAAGCTGAGTCCTGAAGCAGGCAGCGCTCCATAATGCTCTGAAGAGCTCTGTTGCTTTTTCTGGGTTGATGATTAAATTGGGTCTTAGATCTTCTTGGACCTTTATAGAAAAGAAACTGAGCCTGGGATCACACAGTTAGTTGCAGAGTGAACCGGATGGCAGGCATTCAGACCACTGACCTTTTCTTCAGAGTAATGCTGTTTAAGAATATAAGATTGTATTGTCCTGATGGAGAACTTTTTCTTTTCAGGGCTTCACAGTAGAGGAAGGCTGAGGTGGTGGAATCCAGCCTATAATTGCTTGTGGCTTAAGTGACCTTCATTATTGGCTCAGTGGTGGCTCTTATAATCCTAATAGCTGCTTCCAGGGAAAGATAATTTCCTAGTCATTACAGGTGACTTCATTTATATCTTCCTCTCCAGGTAGGCCCATCCTATTTGTCTTCTACCAATCACCTTTATCCAAGCCATCTTCTGCTTGGTGGTGCCATCATTTGTTAAATCTTGATTTTTGTCGCCTCAAAATTCCATCTTCTGCAAAATGTTCAAGCTAACAGCCCAGCTTCAGCTCTAAGATGACATTGCAGTGACATTTTAGATGTTCAGAGGCAGGATGTGGGCACTGCTAGCTGCATGAGGGTATAAAATATGAGAGAGATGATTTATGCTTTAAGATCATTGTAAAGCCAAGTTACCATTCAGCCTTATTATTGTTCTGGTATGCAATGTGTACGAAGCCTTTTAAGCTACATGCCTAATTCATGTCTTCATGGTACTGGGGGTAACTTGGCAGCCATGGCATTGAAACTGACTAATTGAGCCACTTGGGCATTAGTTTGGGGTTCTACCCGACTGGTCATTGTATCCATGAAGCAGCTCTGTCATTTATCAGGAAATGTGTGACCTGATTCCTATATGCATGTTTGAAGATAGGTTATTAAAATGACAGAAATCATTACTGATCTAGGTAGAATGTGAGCTTACTCTTTAAAGAAAAGAGCCATTCACTAATTCATTCATTTAATTATCAAATTTTAAATGGACATCTCTTATGTGTTAGACACTGTTCTAGGCGTTAAGGATACATTAGTGAACCAAACAGGGGAAAAAGACCCTGCCTGCATTTTATATTGCCAGTTCCAGATATCTTCCCTGCAAATATTGTATCCCTATAAAAATTTTAAAAATACGTCCATGTTCTATGAAGAAAAGAACTGGCTTTTTGCACTTTGTTATTTTTAATACTCTGTCATAATCTCTCCATGGAACAATTAGAGAGGTTTGTTACCCTCTAAGAGTAATTTTCAGTGGGATGTTTGGTATAGCTTTCTACTTTATTCCTCCACTTGGTTAATACAGGTAGCACTTAGGTAAAGGAAGAGAATTTCAGGTTATCACCTGATTTGATAATAATCAAGAAGGAGACAAGTATTGAGAAATGTATTAAGATATGTATGTAGCTTTTTCCATGAAAGGAATGTGAATGTGTTGTCTATGCTAACAGATTAGGGTATAGCTTCCTCTTGACCCATCCCTCTTCATTTTATTGAGTAAGCCTGACCTTTTCCTCCTGCATGATTGGTTCTGTCTCTTTGTCAATGCAAATATCTTTGGCCATTGTTTTAAGACAGGTGGTTTCCGATTTAAATATGCATAAGAATCACCAGTGGCACTTATAGTACAGGCAGACTCCCTGAGCCTCATGCCTAGGAATTTGTGGGCCTAGAAAGATTTGAAGTTTGAGTTCACCTAGAGGTACCCCAGAAGAAAGGCCTGGTGATCTACTTCTGAAAAAATCAGCCATTGACAACCCTACAGAACACAGTTCTACTCTGACACACATGGGGTTGCCATGAGTCAGAATAGACTTGACTGCAACTGGTAACTGGTATACTATACTACACCTCTTTCTTAATTTCTGCTTGCTAAAAGGCAACTGGTAGGATGGGAACCAGAATCTGCTTTTTCAAAAAGGAGGATTGAAGAAAGGCAGAGCATTCTAATGATGATGTAGATGTGTTACTTTAAAAAAGACTGTCTAAAATGTTCTAGAACTGTGGGAATATTGTTGAACCATTTTCCACTGGGCAAAGCCATAAGGTATGGCCTGGCCGTTAACCTTATATGCTGAGGAGTCCAAATTTAAAGACCAGTAGCCACCTACAAATGCCACGAAGTACCCAAGGATACTGTGTTTACCAGGTTGTCAGTGTTTACCAGTGGGAGAAGATTGTCTCGGCTTTGCTAATAAACTTTCTTGGAATTTCTTCTTAGGCAATGGTGGCTTGCTACCCAGGAAATGGAACAGGTTATGTTCGCCATGTAGACAACCCTAATGGTGACGGCCGCTGCATCACTTGCATCTACTATCTGAACAAGAATTGGGATGCCAAGGTACTTTGGAACAATGGGAGTAGAGTATGAGGTTAGAAACTATAGGAAAAAAATCCAGATGATTTATAGAGAGAGCTTTGTGTTGAGAATAGCCCTGTCTCCCACTAATGAATCTTTCCTATTTCTGTTTCACATATTTTTTTTCCCCCTATGGAACTAGTGCCAAAGTTGATGAGATGAAAATAATGGTTATAAAATTAATTTTTTTTTGGGGGGGGGCAGGTAGGGTAATTATATGTGTGTGGGAAGGGTAGGGTGGTTGATGAAGAGAATAATATTTTAGGATTAATGGTCTATTTTTTAGTCTAATCCAGAGCTGATATGAGTCTCATTGCAGAATAGGATATGTACTCTTCCCTCCCAGCAGCAGCACTGAGAGAATTCCACAAAAATAGAACTGTAGGATATAAAGCCATCCCCAAGAGAGGTTTCCCACACAGTCCTCTCTCTGAGGGTGACACGTCGCATTCATGGCTGCTTGCCATGGTTAACTATAGTTGGTGAATGCCAAAGGTTTTGTGGCTTATTTTTGTATTTTAGAACATACAGATAGAGATGTAGTCTGGTTCCACGCTTACAAACATTTGTCTGGACTTTGTGCGCTTTCTGAAAGCTAAGAATGATTTAGTAATCTGGGAAGTCAGAGAACTTTTCAAGCTTCTTTGGCTTTTGAACCTTCTACATGTCCATTTCCTGTTAGTGAGGACAGACACTGGCTGTCATAAAGCAATGATATTTTATCTAGGGTCAGAAAAACTAAACCTGGGAAACCAGTGAATCAGTGAAAAAGCTTGTCTCTTCTCCCTGTTTGGTAACATGGCTGGAATAGATCCCTTAGGTCTCCTTTAAAGTCTTGAGAGGTGCTGTTGTAGGCAAGAGAATGATGTTATCAGGCTGATAACAATAAATTGTAAAATGTGAAGTCATTCAACAAATATTTAACTGCTGTGGGGAAACATGGGTAAGTGAGGACTGAATTCTGTCCTCAATATGGTTTTACTAGTAGGACAGATTAGGTATATATGTAAAAAAGTAATTCAAGGAAGAAAGTGATGTATGTTATAAAAGGTACAGATAGGTGGTCTGAGTTCAGAAAAGAGCATATAACTTCCAACTAATGAAGTCAGATAAGGAGCCAGTGGAGTTCAGAAGAAAGCAGTAATTCCAATCAAAGAAGTTATGTGTGGTGATTATCCTGTTAGTATTAAGCGTGAACCATAGGAAATTGCTGGGGGTTTCTTGTATCCATGGACTTCATGATTTTGGGAGTAAGAAGGCTTTGTTTGGTATAAGGTGGATAAGGAGGTTACTGTACCCAGGTTTGCAGAACAACTTTTATTTCACAAGCCAGTGAAGTAAAATTTGGTATAAAGTATGAGGTTGAAGTAAAAATTGGGGATAATATATGCTTGGAGTGAAGTTTGGAAAATGGCGTTTTTCTAGAATATGTCTGAGGCCAGGAAATAATCCACCTTCTTTGTGGCCCTCAGTTGCACGGTGGGGTCCTACGGATATTTCCAGAAGGGAAGTCTTTCATAGCAGATGTGGAGCCCATTTTCGACAGACTCCTGTTCTTCTGGTCAGATCGCCGGAACCCACATGAAGTTCAGCCTTCCTACGCGACTAGGTAATAGCCAGGGTCAGGTTTTTTCTGGAGGAGCTTGTTGTGCAAACCCCAGTTCCCATGTATACGGGGGACCCACCACACGCTAAAGCTGATAGCAAACCTGTTTGGAGTTGTTAGAAATTAAAGGGGAAACTTGGGTCTTCTGGTGTGCAAAACAATGTCAGTTTGAAATAACTATTAATGAATTGTTTTCTGTTAGTGAGGAGATTGGATTATGTATTTCCCAGAGTGTTTTTCTCTTCTCCCCTTTTCTTTTTTTAATCTACTGTTGAACTACCCCTAAAAAATGTTGGCTATCACATACGGCACATATCAGAAATTCTGTCTGGTTACTTGGGATGAGTTTACAAGTTGCCAGTTGCAAGCAGAGAGAGAGACCTCGTGGCTTAAAATTAGTTTGGGATCACTGAATCCAGGTCCCAGCAATTTGATTTTTTTTGTTTTTTAATATGCTTTCTTTAGCACATGCATATGAAAATTTTCAGAGTGATGGCTTAATATCAGATTAAAATCCTACAGACTTGTAAGTGTCCCCTTCCAGCAGTCACAGATCTGAACCCCAAACACAAAGTTGCATATTAAATGTACCCTAGGTGAGCAGGTAACTAATTCTACTACCAGAGCCTGCTCATGGCTTGTTTCATGGGGCACAATAACTAGATCCTGTCATTTGTGGCAGAATTCCCTGATGATTACCTACTCCCACAGTGACTGACTTCACAGGAAAAAATTAGCAAATGTTGGTGGGAAGCCCTTAAAAAATCAAGTGCTCTAGAAATTCCAATTACTAATAATTATAACATGAAACTTCTTGAAAACCCAATTGTGAAATGGCTCCTACTACAGTCGATCACGTGGATGGGCTGAAGCGAATTTATGAGAATGAAGTGGAATGCTTAAGGATCTCATTGTTTAGTTGCTTCCTTGCCCCAACGTCCAACACTAAAGAAAGCAAGCCAAGAATTTTAAACATCTTATGATTTAAACAAGTTATTCTTCAAAGCTTCACTTAAATTTTACCTCCTCCTTTCTGTGCTGTCTCCATCATCTTGGGCCTCCCAGTCTTTAGCAGAATATCTCGCTTTTAGTCCTTTCTGTAGGAGCCCTGTGGCACAGTGGTTAAAGCACTCAGCTGCTGTCTTAGGCTGGGTTCTCTAGAGAAGCAAAACCAGTAAGGTGTATAAATATATATATATATAGAGAGATTATATCAAGGAAACAGCTCACATGATTGTAGAGGCTAGAACGTCCCAAGTCCGTGGATCAGGGTAGAGGCCTCTCCCAAGTCACACAGCTGCAGAAGCTGGCAAGCCCAAGATCGGCAGGTCAGAGAGCAGGGCTCCCGCTCACAGGCTGTGCAGATCAACGAATCCCAGGTTCGGCAGATAAGCTGACAGCTCAAGTCCCAAGAACGGGAAATGAGATGACACAGGAAGCAGCCGCAGGATCCAGTGAGAGCAAAAAGCCAGAAAGTCTGCTTATATACAGATGTGAGCCACACCCCTAAGGAGACTCCCTTTCATCTGATTGGCTACTCACGGTATATTCAATCATGGGAGTGATTACATTAAAGCACTGAGAATCATGGCCCAGCCAAGCTGACACACAATCTTAACCATCACAGCTGCTAACTGAAAAGTCAGCAGTTTGAATCCAGCAGCTAGCTGCTCTGTGGGAGAAAGATGTAGCAGTCTGCTTCTGTAAAGATGTCAGCCTTGGAAACCCTGTGGGGCAGTTCTACTCTGTCCTATAGGGTTACTAATGAGTCAGAATCAACTCAACAGCAGTGAATTTAGCCCTTTCTGTGTAGGTCATATTTGCCTGTTGTATTATTTGCTAAATTGCCTGTCTGCCCTGCTAGATACAGCCTGTGCTCCTTGAGGAAGAGGAAGATCTGCTCAAGTGAATCTTTGAATTCTCAGTGGCCAGCACAATGCCTGGTGCATACCTGGAATTCTTTAAGAATTTTCTTACCTTCAAATAGAATTGAGACTAGAGAAATTTCTTTTAAGTTAAAATTGGAGTGAACATTTAATACTAGGGAAACCTTTAAATGTTGGCTTTATAAATTACTTTGATATAGGATTTATAGTAAGTTATCTTTTTTTTTTTTTTTTTCTTTTTAGTGTTTCTAAACCTTTTCTCTTATTCCTGCTTATCTTTCACAGATACGCTATGACTGTTTGGTACTTTGATGCGGAAGAAAGGGCAGAAGCCAAAAAGAAGTTCAGGAATTTAACTAGTACGTGTTTGATATTTTTCTTTGACTTTTGATCAAATCAATCTGTGACTTTTAGTCAAGATTTTTATATATATTCTAACATACCCTGTCAATCCAAGCTATGGTTTAGCTTCATATACAATGACATGCTGATGGTTTAATTCTGAAACCCTGGCCTTAACTCTGCTAGAAAAATCAGAAAAAATACAAAGGACGCCTCCTGAGAATGCTCACTGATCATGTAATGGTTTATAATGGATGGGAAATAGTTAATTTTTGATCATTAATGTTAACCAATCAAACGTAACATTAAATTTTGTCCATGATTTTGGCACATTGCAAGGAAACATAATGGAACCCAGCTATAATGTTTTTTATTATTATATGATCTATTATTTATTGTTGTTGTCAGGTGCCGTTGAGTCGATTCCAACTCCTAGCAACCCATGCACAACGGAATGAAACACTGCCCAGTCCTACACCATCCTCACAATTATTGCTATGTTTGAGCCTATTGTTGCAACCACTGTGTCAGTCCATCTCCTTGAGGGTCTTCCTCTTTTGTGCTGAGCCTCTACTTTACCAAGCATGATATACTTCTCTAGGGACTGGTCCCTCCTGATAACGTGTCCAAAGTAAGCAAGGTGAAGTCTCACCATGCTTGCATCCAAGGAGCATTCTGGCTGTACTTCTTCAAAGATAGATTTGTTAATTCTTCTGGCAGTCCATGGTATATTCAATATTCTTTGCCAACACCGTAATTCAAATGCATCAATTCTTCTTCGGTCTTCCTTACTCATTATCCAGCTTTTGCATACATATGAGGGGATTGAAAATACCATGGCTTGGGTTGGATGCACCTTATTCCTCAAAGCGGTATCTTTGCTTTTTAATACTTTAAAGAGGTCTTTGCAACAGATTTGCCCGATGCAATACGTTGTTTAATTTCTTGACTGCTGCTTCCGTGGGTGTTGATTGTGGATCCAAGTAAAATGACATCCTTGACAACTTCAGTCTTTTCCGCATTTATCATAATGTTGTTTATTGGTACAGTTGTGAGGATTTTTGTTTTCTTTATGCTGAGGCGTAATCCATACTGAAGGCTGTAGTCTTTGACCTTCATCAGTAAGTACTTCAAGTCCTCTTTGCTTTCAGCAAGCAAGGTCGTGTTTCTGCATATCGTAGGTTGTTAATGAATCTTCCTGTAATCCTGATGCCTCATTCTTCTTCATATAGTTCAGCTTCTCAGATTATTTGCTCAGCATACAGACTGATTAAGTGTGATGAAAGGATACAACCCTGATGCACGCCTTTCCTGATTTTAAACCATGAAGTATCCCTTTGTTCTGTTCACATGACTGCCTCTTGGCCTATGTACAGGTTCCACATAAGCACAGTTAAGTGTTCTGGAGTTCCCATTCTTCGAAATGTTATCCATAATGTTATGATCCATGCAGTCGAATGCCTTTGCATAGTCAATAAAACACAGGTAAACATCTTTCTGGTATTCTCTGCTTTCAGCCAAAATCCATCTGACATCAGCAACGATATCCCTCATTCACGTCCTCTTCTGAGTCCAGCTTGAATTTCCGACAGTTTCCTGTGAATGTACTGCTCTAACCATTTTTGAATTGTCTTCAGCATAATTTTACTTGCATGTGATATTAATGATATTGTTTGATAATTTCTGTGTTCTGTTAGATCACCTTTCTTTGGAATGGTCACAAATGTAGATTTCTTCCAGTCAGTTGGCCAGGTAGCTATCTTGCAGATTTCTTGGCATAGATTAGTGAGTGCTTCCAGCGTTGCATCCATTTGTTGAAACATTTCAGTTGGTATTCTATCAATTCCTGGAGCTTTGTTTTCCGCCAGTGCCTTCAGTGCAACTCGGACTTCTTTTCGGTATCATCGGGTTCTTGATCATATGCTGCCTCCTGAAATGACTGAATGTTGACCAATTCTTTTTGGTACAGTGACTCTGTGTATTCCTTTTATCTTTTGATGCTTTCTGTGTCATTCAATTTTTTTGCCCATACAAACTTTCAGTATTGCAACTTGAGGCTTGAATTTTTTCTTTAGTTCTTTCAGCTTGAGAAATGCTGAAAGTGTTCTTCCTTTTTGGTTTTTTAACTACAGGTGTTTGCACATTTCATTATAATACTTTACTTTGTCCTCTTGAGCCACTTTGAAGTCTTCTGTTCAGCCTTTTACTTTGTCATTTTTTCCTTTCACTTTAGTACTCTAAGTTCAAGAGCATGTGTCAGAATCTCTTCTGATATCCGTTTTGATCTTTTGTTTCTTTTCTGTCTTTTTAATGACCTTTTGCTTTCTTCATGTATGATGTCTTTGATGTCATCCCACAACTGGCCTGGTCTTCAGTCATTATTAATGTAGAGTGTGTCAAGTCTATCCTTGAAATAGTCTCTAAATTCAGGTGAGATATACTCAAGATCATACTTTTGCCCTCATGGACTTGTTTTAATTTTCTTCAGGTTCAACATGAATTTGCACATGAGCAATTAATGGTCTGTTCTGCAGTCAGCCCTGGCCTTGTTTTTACTGATGATATTGAGCTTCTCCGTCATCTCTTTCCACAGATGTAGTCGATTTGATCCCTTGTATTCCATCTGGAGAGGTCCACGTGTATAGTTGCCATTTATGTTGTTGGAAAAGGGTATTAGCAACGAATAAGTCATTGGTCTTGCACAATTCTGTCATGCAATCTCTGGAGTTGTTTCTTTCACCAAGGCCATATTTTCCAAATACTGATCCTTCCTCTTTGTTTCCAACTTTCGCATTCTAATAACCAGTAATTATCAGTGCATCTTGATTGCATGTTTGATCAATTTCAGACTGCAGAAGTTGGTAAAAATCTTCAATTTCTTCATCTTTGGCCTTAGTGGTTGGTGTGTAAATTTAAATAATTATTGTATCAACTGGTCTTCTTGTAGGCATATGGATATTATCCTAACACTGGCCGCGTTTACTTCAGGATAGATCTTGAAATGTTCTTTTTGATGATGAACATGACTCCATTCCTCTTTGTCATTCCCAGCACAGTAGACCATATGATTATCTGATTCAAAATGGCCAACATGAGTCCATTTCAGCTCACTGATGCCTAAGATATCAATCTTTATGCATTCCATTTCATTTTTGACGACTTCCAATTTTCCTTGATTCATACTTTGTACATTCCACGTTCCTATTATTAATGGATGTTTGCAGCTATTTCTTCTTGTTTTAAATCGTGTCACAGCAACAAATGAAGGTCCCCAAAGCTTTACTCCATCCACGTCTTTAAGGTTGACTCTACTTTGAGAAGGCAGCTCTTCCCCGGTTGTATTTTGAGTGCCTTCCAACCTGAAGGGCTCATCTTCTGGCACTATATCAGACAGTGTTCTGCTGCTATCCATAAGGTTTTCACTGGCCAATTTTTTCAGAAGTAGATCGCCAGGTCCTTCTTAGTCTGTCTTAGTCTGGAAGCTCAGCTGAAATCTGTCCACCATGAGTGATCCTGCTGGTGTTTGAAGCACCAGTAGCATAGCTTCCAGTATTACAGCAACATGCAAGCCACCACAGTATGACAAATTGACAGATGAGTGGTGGATTTGTTATATTGGTATGGGACTATAACTTCATCACATAAACACAGGGCTCATGTAATATAAACTGGATATGATTTAATACCATTCCTGCCCCTCTAACTAATATTTTTAAAGCAGCATTTCTCAAAATATGTTCCATTGGAACACTACTCCTGGCAAGTTGGTTTGTGAGAGGATAAATTCTTGGTCAAAAAAAAAAAAAAAGTGGGAACTGCTGCATGCTGTATCTCTGTCTTGAAGAGTCACGGTGCTCATTGGCATGTCAAATCAAGGCTCTAAGAAATCCTGCAGTAAAGAAACATATGTAGCATTGCATAAGCCATGACCCATTTGGAGTGAGTACCTATCAAACACCACAGCAAACACACTTTGGAAAGCCCTATTAGGAGGCACTGTGCTCAACTTTGTTCTATAAGATGTGAAGTATTTACTGGAGGCTGTTCGTTATATGGAGTCCCTGAGTGATGCAAATGGTTAATGAGCTTAGCTGCTAACCAAAAGGCTGGCAGTTCGACTCCACACAGAGCTGCCTCAGAAGAAAGGCTGGTGATCTACTTCCAAAAAATAAGCAATTGGCAGCCCTATAGAGCGCAGTTCTACTGTGACACACATGAGGTCACCATGTGTTGGAATCGACTCAATGGCAACTTGTGTGTGTGTGTGTGTGTGTGTGTGTGTGTGTGTGAGTGACATGAAACCCATTGAATCTGACTCCCTACACCCTTCATTCTCTTTTCTGTGCCCAACACAGGGAAAACTGAATCTGCTGTCACTGAGGACTGACCAGTGCTCTGAAATCCGCTGGTGTCGTTATTTTAGCAATGGTTCCTGAGTTATTTTTAAGAGTTGAGATCCAAAGATGATGTCTTCAGTGACTCAGTGACAAGGAAATCTCCCTCCTGCTGAAATGTCTTGCATCGTTCACATCCCTGTCTTGCATGTGGTACTTCGTGTCTTCTTGCCATGACTGCAAGGACTGCATTGATCTTCAGATACTCTTTCCAGATAAACTTTTTTGCTAACTCCAGGAATACCTGCAGATCCCTCCTGGCCTGTGGTTTAACTGATAGATTTTGGTATTACTGGCTATCAAAATGAGAGCATGGAAGCACAGGGGAGGGAATGAGTCTTACTTGCACTTTATTTACACTTCTTGATTTGAAAAGAGGTTTGCAAAGAAAAAAATGGTGACAGATGCCACAGAGAGACATCGTTGAAGCCTTAACAGCAGGAAACAGACATTTGTGTCATCTGAACAATTTCCAGATGTCTTAATCCAGGGCTGTTGGCTTTTCTGGAGAGAGAATTATCACAACCTAATGACATTATTACCTCTAGAAAGGGCTGCTGTCATAGTCATCAACTTATAAGCGTCCTATGGGGCGGACACTCCTTTTTCCCACAACCTGGGCTTTCTGCCTCTGATCATTTTGCTGAAAATAGGACCTTCTGGTCAGAGATGAGAACACCAGTTATTCTCTGCTTTCACTTTCTTACCTGGAGAACCTAATTCTTCAGAGGCTAATACTAGACATCAGTTGTTTTAGTTGCCTTTTTGTGGAATGGAATTTGAATTTAATCAAAGAAAAAAAAATCTACTTGGTAGTTTAGAGCCAGCTTCTGATAATGGTGGCGAATGACCTTGTCTGCTGATATACAATAAACTGTGCTTCTTGAACTGTTTGAGAGGAGAGGTGGAGGTGGAAATGTGGGTGTTCCCTTTTTTTTTTTTTTTCAGTTTTCCTTTATAATCAGCCTGCCCTACTTCTTTAACAAAATAAGAACAGGGTGCTGCATTTTAAAAAGGAAATGGAAATAAACAAACAAAAAAAATCCTGAAAAGCTGTTTGAGTTCTTCGACATTGTCTGTCCCTAGCAGACTTTTTCATCAGATGACTCTCTGGAGCAACTGTGGTTGGCAGTGTGGCCAGAATTGTGGAGTTTGCTGGAGGGGTGGAAGGTTCTATGACTGCTCTCTCACGGAGGTTCTGCTGCAGCAAACACAGGCTCTGCTGCCTCCAACAACTCCTGTTATATGAAAATTACACATCCTGGTTTTCAACTTCACTTTTGTGTTTTAAAATCCCTTTAATTTCTTGCTTGAAAATCCCATGAACGTTAAAGAGCCAGAAATATTTTCTTTGTTGTTTTTGGATATGTAGACTTTCCAACGAAGACGTTTATTTTTTCCTTATTTGGTTTTGGAAAATTTCCAGATTAAGACTTGTCGTCACTCGTTCTCATAACTATTCTTTTTTTTTTTTTTTTTCCCATAGTACTTATCACTTTCTAACTTATTATATAATTTATTTATTTATTGTGCATATTGTCTTGTATCCTTCCCCTGTAGTACAAGCACAATGAGGACAGAGATTCTTGTATGCTTTTAATCACTGCAATGTATTCCTAGCACCTAAAATAGTGCCTGGCACATAGTAAGAACTCAGTAAATACTTGTTGAATAAACTCACTCTCCTGAGCATTCTAATGCTCATTTCTTTCATCTTTGGCAGGAAGGACTTGCTAGAATTTTTGCACACGTATCTTTCTATTGCTGTTGGCTTATAAATTTAGGCTGTTTTAGAAAGCTCTGGTCATAGGGTCATTTCATATTTGCTTACCTTTTTGAATAGGTTATTGACCACTATAAATCTGAAAATAGAGCAGATAGTATTTCTGCCCTTCTGTATGCTGGGACTGTTAATAGTAGTAAGGTAAGAGTAGCTTCAGATAGGACAGAGTACATTCACATTCCTACTTAAGGAACAGTCTTGAAAAACTTCAGTAAGAGAAAGAAGGTTGTTTATTAGGGATTTTATATTCTGTAAAATTTTAACTAAGTTTTCCATAATCACTAATGTCATGAGAATGATAATGACAACATTCTACAGGGATAGCATGTAGTTCCTGTAGTATATCTTGTATTTTTCATCTGTAGTCAAATATTTTGACTTGCCAAAAGATCTGATCTTTTAGGTCTTGCTTATTCCTTCCATACAAAGGTCCTATAAACTAATAAACTATATAGTGATTACTTTTTTTAACATACACTGATTTGTCATGGCTGAGTTTGAGTGCTGGAAGATTAAGCTGGAAAACATAGCTGTGCTACTCAGAGTGTCTGCTTTGTTCTCTCTTCTACAGCCCACTTCGGGAAGGACTCAGGCTGCTAAAGAAACATTATTTGGTAAATAATCTGATCAATTTCATTTGTATTCCTGGCAATGAAATATTAAGAGCCTATCTCACCGTTACCTCACCTAAGTAGCGCAGAGTCCTTGGCAGGAGATTAAATTTTGAACCAAAGATCCAATTTCATGAGAATGAAAAGTCTTACCTAAGTGCATTGAATAGATCTTTAGTGGAGTAGTTAATACCAATTAAGTGCTGGGCTGTCTGAATCATGAATTATCCATTCAGACATGATTGTGTTTTTCTTCTTTAAATAACTCAGGTTTTTTAGAGACTGGGTTATCCTAATTTCTTTTGGCCATTCAGTCTTGAAATATCCTGTGTTGTTTTAGAAAGCAATGATGGGAAATGCCATGCTGGGTCAGCAGTTTGTGTAAAGTAGGAGTTTTCACGTGTTAAGGTACTTTTATATTTGATCAGCTATGAAGACAAGCACAGGGGATGTTCTTAGTAAAGTTATTTTAAATAAAATTTTTAAAAAATGAACTAGCTTTAGTCTGGAGTCTTTTGAATGGCATGAAAAGAACACTAGTTAGTGAGGTGGCTAGAGACAGGTCAGGAGTGGAGAAAAACAGCTTCCTTCAAAATGAAATAGGCTACAGTTGAACTCTCCTCTGTTGGATAATATATGCTGATTTGTAGTAAAGACCCAATCTGCTCTCAGACTCAGCCTGTTGTTAGTTGCTGTCAAGTTGGCTCCAACTCCTGGCGACCCCATGCACAACCGAACAAATTGCTGCCCAGTCCTGCACCATCTTCCTATATCAGACACTATTCTGTTGTGATCCATAGGTTTTCATTGGCTAGTTTTCAGAAGTTCATTGTTAGACCTTTCTTTCTAGTCTATCTTAGTCTGGAAGCTCTGTTGACATCTGCCCATCGTAGTGGCCCTGCTGGTATTTGAAACGCCTGTGGCATAGCTTATAGCATCATAGCAACACAGAAGCCATCACAGTATGACAGACAGACGGGTTACGGAGACTCAATGTACTCGCATCTGCTATCTCGCTGTGTTGATAGATTAGGTCTTTTGAGAGGCTGGGTTTACCTCCTTTGCAATTTGCATGGCCAGTGTCAGAGATTCAACAGTCATGATTTAGAGAAGCTGAGAACAGGGTAGGATGAATCTAAATACTCGAGAATATCTGTATGCCAGGCCCTGGGCTACGTGCTTACATATGTTTATTCTTTGCAACCACTGTGAGGAAGCTCTTCCTCTTTGACAGATGAGGACACATACTCAGAACGGTTAGGTAGGTAGCTTGTCCAGGGTTTCACGGTGATGGAGTAGCATACCAGGATTTGTCTCAAGACTTCCAGCTTCTCCATGATTGTTTCCTTTGGTATCTCCTTCCTGCAGAGATGCCAAACAAAAGAGCAGGAATGAGTGGAGTTGGGAGATGAGCTTTAAATGCTTGCTGCTTGATATTGTTCCATAATGTTATTTATGATTATTAATAAGGCTCTAATGCCCAGCAGCCTAAAGGAATGTCAATTATTCAATAAAAACCACAGAAGCAGAAAACACCAACTTCATAGTCGAATTCTCCTTTGACTTTGCAATGGGATCTTTCCCGCATGCCTCACCAGACTGCAGGGGAACTCTGGGTTTATGCTAACCACTGGCCTCTCAGGCTAATGCTGGGCATGAGCTGTATGGGGTGAGCACTCTCCTGTTTATCAAAGTCAAGCAGCATAGGCCATCTTGAAGTGAAGACAGATTGGGATTTCCTGGGTGCAATTTGGAGGCCTTCCATCAGGCCACAGTGCATAGGAACATTTAGGCAGTGTGCAAGCTGCTGTCCTCATGTTCCTACGTCGCATATGCTCAGCGCGGGGAACTTTCCAGCTTGGGCTTGGCTACCCATGAGGTAGAAGTGAGATGTCAGTGGAGTTCCGTTACTGATGCTTCTCAGTCTGGTCAATCAGAACTAAGCCAGGAGATGGAGGAAAGCCCTGTCATCTTAAGAAGTACTTTTCCCACCCCTAAGTGACACCGAGTGAAGAATTAGCAAACATTTCTAATTCTCAAAGATACCTGGGCAGTCTCTACCTAAACGTTTTAAGATGGCCTATAAAAGGATGCAAAGAGCCCTGGGGGCACAGTGGTTAAGCGCTTGGCTGCTAACCAAAAGGTCAGTGGTTTGAACCCATCACCTGCTCCATGGGAGAAAGATGTGGCAGTCTGCTTCCATAAAGATTTACAGCCTTAGAAACCCTATGGGGCAGTTCTACCCTGTCCTGTAGGGTCGCAATGAGTCAGAATTGACAGCAGTTGGTTTGGAATGGGTTTATAGAAGGATGCCATTTTAATTGAAATACAGCTCTTTTGGTTACGTAAATACTATGAAAAATTACGAGTGTTGAAAAAGCACCAAATTTCTTTAGCTTTTGGATCTTGTTTGTCTGACCTTTGATAAACTAAGCACTTAGAAAAGTGCTTTCTGGGAAGCAATTGCTGCTTATGCTGCTGAGTGCTGAAATTCCTCAGAAAATTTCTAAAGACCATTTTATAATTCATTTTTTAAAGTTAGAGAAACATCTTAGATAGTTAGAGAATGGCTATTGTGTTGTTTTATTGTCACAATTTTGAAAACAGAAAAGCAGTTGTGGAGTGAAATTCATTATTTTACGAGTGGATAAACACTAACTCATTAAAAATGAATTTAACAGTAGTTTTTGTTCTGAGCCTATTTCTTGAGGAAAAACTAAATAGCCCCTATGAGGGCTGTGTGGTGAATGTAGAGGTAGAAGGTGACATGGGACTGAGAGGAATGGAAGGAACGTTTCACTTATCATTTGGGGGCTTTCCAGGAAATGGGAAGTAAAAGAGAACAGGGTCTGGGTGTGGTATGTTCCTTTTGAAGAGAGCTTTAGGAATAATTTGCTGAAGGAGGAACCCAAATTGAGGGTCAGATCTCAGAAATAGGAGAACGCTGCTGGGGAGCTATTCTTAGCAGGTCAGTTCACTCAGAGCTGGGACCAAGTGCTGGATGAGGGGAGTGGAGCAGGCCACTGGGGAAGGTCTTAAGTATTCACCAACTGTCTGGATTTTGAAACTCATTAGGAGCCACATTATAACATACTAGTTGGCTGTCAAGTTGACTCCGACTCAGGCAATTCTGTTTTTCAGAAGGTGATTGCCTGGTCTTTCTTCTGAGGTGCCTCTGGGAGGATTCTGTTGTAGGGTAAAAAACATCACAAAGTCTAGTAAAGCAAAAAGAAAGTTTTATTTGGTATATATTCAAAAGGCAAAAGTGGGAAAACAGAGCCATGTCTGCCTGAATCTAAGGAAATGTTACAGAATAAGCAAAAGTGGGAAAACAGACAAGCATGCTACCGCAGCCATGTCTGTCCAAGTCCAAGGAACATTACAGAGTTATCAGTACATATCAACATTACAAATGGGCAAAACCATTTGAAAGCTTAGCCTTTTCACAGATTGGTTAGAAACTGTGATCCTACATTTTGAATCGTCTTTCTTAACAATTATTGGTACAGGTTTCAGTAACGACAGTCAGGATGGTCTTCATTGG